CGACTGGAGTGATTGTTCTGTGGTATTATGGCAGTGGACAAAGCTTAAGTGTAACTATTGAATAAATGTGTTTTTAACTAAAAATAAATAAAAAGTAAGTTCTATTGAATTCCGTGGGGCTTACCCCCAGGTAAGTGGGGTGAGTTTGCAAAATAACAGAGAGGAATCCTGCTGAGCCATATCCCACCCTTCATTCAGACCTTCCTCAAAGGAGGTCCTGGGCTGCCCAGATGACAAGACCCCCCTTTTGGCCTCACTAATGTGGTCCAAAGGAGAGCAGAACAATACATTTGGCACCAGCTTGGCTGCAGGAGCTGCCAGAGGGAGGCAGACAAGACACCATACAACCACTCTGGATTTGTGTAGGTCTTACTGAGCCTTTTCTTCTCCAGAAGATACTCTGCAAGGCAGCGGAGGTTTACGATCAGAGTTTTCCTTCTCCTAGATGGGCTACCTTCCCAGGGTGACAAGCCTCATCTGCCCCTCACTTCCCTCAACAGCACGTGCAGAAACCACCTTCTTGACCATTGGACCCACTCTTGGTCTAGTCCGCTCAATCTGTAGGAGCCTGTCTTCACATGTAGGGAAGTCCCTAACTCACCAAGGGTTTGAGACCCATGGGCTACCCTCACCTGGTTTAGCCAGCCAATCAAAACAATTTCCTGGGGTGTGACTGCTGTCGCATGCTGACAGCTTCTAGGACCCACAGGTGAGAACTGAGTAAAGAGTGGGGACCAAAGGTGGACAAACTACTCCAGAAGGAGCATGTGTGCCCCACTAGAGGTACTACCCCTCCCCTAACATCCCTTACACCACTTACTACTACTACTACTACTACTACTACTACTATTACTACAGTGGTACCTCAGGTTAAGTACTTAATTCGTTCCGGAGGTCTGTTCTTAACCTGAAACTGTTCTTAACCTGAAGCACCACTTTAGCTAATGGGGCCTTCTGCTGCCGCCGCACCGCCGGAGACAGATTTATGTTCTCATCCTGAAGCAAAGTTCTTAACCTGAAGCACTATTTCTGGGTTAGCGGAGTCTGTAACCTGAAGCGTATGTAACCCGAGGGTACCACTGTACTACTACTACTACCGTACTATAAGTTCTTTGTGCTCATTGCATGAGATTCAATCATTTCAGTGTTTAATTTTATTTTCTCCAGACAGCTACTAGGGGAAAGGGGGGGTGGGGGGGTAGAAGAGCAATATTGGAGAATGTAAGCTTTGGGTGCAGAGAAATCGAAAGTATTTTTAATACCAAGCCTGGGTTATCATTTCATGTTGATTCCATCCAGATAATAAAGTCATTTATCATTCCAGTACCTGAGCTGATTCAATATCGGATGGAAAATGCTGATGATTAATTCCATTGATTCCCCTGAAATACTGGAGTCCAGTCATGACTTCTTGCTTGTACGGTTTTCGATTTGGGGAGGGAGCAGTAATAAATAAACCATTGATTACAAAATGGCCCAGACAATGCTTGACAGGCCTGATTTACACCTGTAGCTCCTCTTGCTGCGCCTCGTTAATATGTTGCAACTGCTGTTGACAGAAGAGCATCTCGGCCGTGACACCCATGAGTAATGCTGCAAGTTAGTCACTACAATGCATGCCAATTACACAGGGTGTGCTTTTGACGGACGGTAGCTTATGCCAGATAAAAACTATTAACTAAATAAGCTAAGCCATCGGCATACGTTGTCTATCACCTTATGTGAGAAAAACATCCATCATAAATCTCATGCAGGGCCACACTGTATATGAAGTTAGGGCTGCACACAATCATTAAACCCTCCATAAATCAACAGCGTTACAGAAATATTATGCTGCGCTATTCCCCCACCCCCTGGATTCTACCTTTCCGTAAATTGCTAACGCCTTTCCAGTATTCTGTTAGGAAGGAGCGCGGTGGAGCTTGCTGAGTTAGGCAGGAGAAATGTATCACAGCTTCCATACAAAAGATGGCTTTGCTCACATGTAAGAATAAGATAGGCTTCTTGAATTGTCATGGTTTATTGTGAGCAGTCAAAGGGACGCGGGTGGCGCTGTGGGTAAAAGCCTCAGCGCCTAGGGCTTGCCGATCGAAAGGTCGGCGGTTCGAATCCCCGCGGCGGGGTGCGCTCCCGTTGCTCGGTCCCAGCGCCTGCCAACCTAGCAGTTCGAAAGCACCCCCGGGTGCAAGTAGATAAATAGGGACCGCTTTCTAGCGGGAAGGTAAACGGCGTTTCTGTATGCGGCTCTCGCTCGCCCGAGCAGCGGTGTCACGCTGGCCACGTGACCCGGAAGTGTCTCTGGACAGCGCTGGCCCCTGGCCTCTTGAGTGAGATGGGCGCACAACCCCAGAGTCTGTCAAGACTGGCCCATACGGGCAGGGGTACCTTTACCTTATTGTGAGCAGTCACTGCCCACCTTATAGCATGGCATACATCTGCTCAGTGTGATTCAGCCTCTACTGGTGGTAACTGCCTAGGTGCACAGAGTGCACTCATAGGCTCTATCCCTTTGTAAAACAGGTGGCAGGATGCTTTGAATCTGATGCCTCTGAAGACAAGTACAGTAGTATCCAGATTCTACCACCACTGTTGTCACAGTTCTTCTGACTTTAAGGAAATGAAAATCCCTGCCTGCAATCTGGGGTGCAAGGTTGCTCTAAACATCATGGCTGCAACGCTATGAAACACCATTCCCTTGTGCCTCCCTCCCTTGCTAACCTGGGTCAATTAGACCGCAATTAAGATGCAATTCCGAAAACAAATCAGGTTTTTCATGACTAATGTAAAAGAAATGTAAGATCTGACTCAGGGTTCTAGAAACACAGGTAGATGTCTCTGTGTCTATCAAGTTCTATATTGTCTATCCCAGGGTGCCTCTCATCAGCCTGAGGGATGCTCTTTCCCCACGGAGAACCTTTCCAGTGGTCACATGCCAATGGTGGGGATAATAATAATAAGAATTTATTTACACCCCGCCCATCTGGCTGGGTTTCCCCAGTCACTCTGGGCGGTTCCCAACAGAATATAAAAATACGATAAAACAAACACTAAAAACTTCCCTAAACAGGCTTGCCTTCAGATGTCTTCTAAAAGTCAGATAGTTGTTTATTTCCTTGACATCTGATGGGAGGGTGTTCCACAGGGTGGGCGCCACCACCGAGAAGCCCCTCTGCCTGGTTTCCTGTAACCTCACCTCTCGCAATGAGGGAACCACCAGAAGGCCCTCGGAGCTGGACTTCAGTGTCCGGGCTGAACAATGGGGGTGGAGATGCTCCTTCAGGTCTACTGGGCTGAGGGCGTTTAGGGCTTTAAAGATCAGCACCAACACTCTGAATTATGCTTGGAAATGCACTTGGAGCCGATGTAGGTATTTCAGGACCAGTGTTATATGGGCAGGGCAAAATGCAAAAGGGAATGCAGGAACAGGTGTGACTCCTAGCTTTTGTGCAGCAGACTATTTTTCAGGTATGCAGATGTCTTCACTTATCTCTATCCTCCACACAGACAGGTTAAGGGGCAGTGCAAAGAATCATCCCAGCCAGGCGTAAAACACTTAAGGATAGATCAGAGCAGGGCTGTTGAGGGGCACAGCCTGGGAATATGGGTGTGGCCTGAGGAAAGCCCTAAGGGCCAGACAGAAAGGGCTGGAGGTCCGCATTTATTCTCCTTCCACACCCACCAGGCTTAGGCTCCGCGCCCCTGCTCTACACTGGATGGCAGTGGCTTTCCAAGGTTTCAGGTAGGAAGCATTTTCCAATCCTACCTGGAGATGCCAGGGATGGAATCTGGGGACTTTTTACATGCAAAGCTCAGGCTCTTACTAAGGAGCTACAGCCCAGCAGACAAACAGTTAATATCAGTATGTGTTGGATGGTACAAGTTGGAATATTTGTTGGGCTAGGTACTTTGTAGACTTATTTGCAAGGCCTGACATACTAGGAAACACACACACCCGGTGTTGTCAAATATACAACACTGAACAGCATTCATTTTTACTGCAATTATTATGGGTGTATCACACCAATAGCAGCTCTTGCTAGAGAGCTGCCGCAGTTAAATCTAGCGATGTTCTACTAAATATTACTCCTCCCTTTTTCTTTTAACGATGTAACTATATGCCTGCCATGCCTGAATTCTTCATGCTTCTGAGCCGGAATAAAGCACGAGAATAAGTAATGTTCAATGTGCATCACCATGTAAAATCAGGCAAAAATCAAGACTGTGAAGCAGGCAGGCTACAGAGATGGCCAGCCTTGCATTAACTAACGCCAGTGCTGTACATCTGCTATGCATTTTTAATCTATTTAAATAATGCAGGCTTTTACTCACAGGAAGAAGCTTCCAAAAGCAAATAATGAGAACACCTAATTTAAGGAGGAAAACATCCAAATGAGCATGTCGTGTTTATTTACTTCTTTCAAAAAAGGAAAAATCTGCTCATTCACATCACTGTTAACCTTATTACATCAAAAATGCTGCATGAAGGATTGCTTTGCAGTAGCATTCTAACCATGAGTTTGTGTTTTTTTAAAGATGCAGAAGCAGAAAATGGTTTGTCTCCATCATTCCATTTTCCTGTCAAGTGATTCTTGCTCAACTCTTCCAGTTCCTTGATCCTTTTTGCCAGTGTGGCTTGCAAAATGGCAAAAACATGCACAAGCCTAGTTAGAATGGTAATTGCATCTCAACCAATCAGATTTATTTCCTCCGCACCAAGTCCCACCTCTCATCTCCCCATTTTTCGGCCCATCTTGTTCATTAGGTAATCTTATCAGAAAGCTTGCCCAAACACCCAGTAAGCACACCCTGCAGCATTTAAACTGAACATGTTTTCCACCAACAGTTGGAAATAATTGCTATTATCACAGCATAATTATGCAGCCATCAGCATGCATAAAGAAAGCAATGCATTATGCCCAAACTGACAATTTTGTTTAAATAGGACTTAAGGTGTGTCAAATTTTCATTGTGAAAATACAGATTGAATAAGGACCTGAAGCTCACAATGATCCACTGCATTAAATGTGGACTTGTTTAACATTCCAATTCCACCTGTGAGGATATAAAATATATTTGTTTGTTTTAAAGACAACAAAGAAAACCTACTGATATTGAAGAAGTTGGGGAGGATGGAGCCTGATGCTGCAGCAAGGTGAAGTTCCATCTTTTCGTTTTGCAGAAATGGCATCTCTGTTTGTTGGCTCATCACTGTGAGCAAGTGGAAATCCTGATGGAAAACCTGGATAAACAAACAAAATCTTAGGAAAGTGTTGAAATTTACATAGGGTAGTGATGGGCAAATCATTTTTCCAATCTCAAATTTAGTGCTTCACATTTCCACATTAGTTTGCAATTTTTAAAAAGGCAGTCCTCCTTAAAACTCATCAGCATTCCGGTGCAAATTTGTCTCAATATACACATTTTTTCTATGCAACTTTGCCTAATGAACAATTTATCGCAAACGAATTATCCTTAATATGAAGTATTTTTGTTATAATAATAATTATTTATTATTTATACCCTGCTCATTGGGCTGGGTTTCCCCAGCCCCTCTGGGCGGTTTCCAACAAAATTTTAAAATACAATGGTCTGTTAAACATTAAAAGCTTCCCTAAACAGGGCTGCCTTCAGATGTCTTCTAAAAGTCTGGTAGCTGTTTTTCTCTTTGACATCTGGTGGGAGGGCGTTCCACAGGGCGGGTGCCACTACCGAGAAGGCCCTCTGCCTGGTTCCCTGTAACTTGGCTTCTTGCAGCGAGGGAACTTCCAGAAGGCCCTTGGCGCTGGACCTCAGTGTCCAGGCAGAACAATGGGGGTGGAAACGCTCCTTCAGATATACTGGACCGAGGCTGTTTAGGGCTTTAAAGGTCACCACCAACACTTTGAATTGTACACAGTTTACTCTAGTAAGTGCATTTTTTTACACAGTGCTTATCCGAAGAACTGCACTGCAAACTTTGGAGAAGAGCAAATTTCAAATAATGGTTGTGTTTCGGTTCTCATACTGTTTCGGAAAGTGTGAGGTAGGTACGTTTGTCTTTCAATGCGGACCGACTCAAATTTTTCCTGTACCTCTGAGCGATTAAGGGTGATTATGTGGCTAATTTAAAACTGATTAATTTTCTTACACTGATATCCTACTTTTCATCCATCATGGAGCTTGGTTGGGGGAGAGGGAGCTTTCCATTCAAGCAGTAACCCAGGAACGTAGCATGGTGAGGGGCTGCCAGGGCCATTACCCTGGGTCATTTTTCTGGGGTGTGTGCTGCTCATGCTGCCCCCCCCCAAGCCAGCCTTGTGCTGCTTTGCGAGATGAGGATCATTCCAGTCTTGCAAAGTGGCTCAGGAATGGTGTTGCTCTGTTGGCGTCAGCTGTAGATTGCTGCCACCTTTAACTAGAATTAACACTGTGTCTCTCTATAAAAGCAAACATGGGATTACTGGTTGTTTACTGCGGAATCCGCCATGTCACTTGTTCCATGTCTCTGACACACAAAATATGGTATGTAGATCCATTGTTCAATATGCGTGTTATATGTTTTAATTCCTAATTTGTTTTTAAAAAACCTACATTATTATGTTTATCTGTATTATTTAGAGTATGCACGGCTGACGAAGCTTGGCAGGGCGAAACAAGGTATTATTCCAGGAATCCTTAACTTAAGTTATTTTGTCTGATACCTGCATACAGCAACTATACTTTGCAAAGACATATGTGGAACATTACAAAGAACAAGTTCATTTTCTGCAAGTAAAGGTAAAGGGACCCCTGACCATTAGGTCCAGTCGTGACCGATTCTGGGGTTGCGGTGCTTATCTCGCTTTATTGGCCGATGGAGCCGGCGTACAGCTTTCGGGTCATGTGGCCAGCATGACTAAGCTGCTTCTGGTGAACCAGAGCAGCACACGGAAACGGCGTTTACCTTCCTGCCGGAGCGGTACCTATTTATCTACTTGCACTTCGTGCTTTTGAACTGCTAGGTTGGCAGGAGCAGGGACCGAGCAACGGGAGCTCACCCCGTCACGGGGATTCGAACCGCCGGCCTTCTGATCGGCAAGTCCTAGGCTCTGTGGTTTAACCCACAGTGCCGCGAGTACTGCTTCTTAAAGTTGTTGCATCTGACACTTGTATTCGTAAAGACATACATGGAACACAAAAAAGCTTCTATTTGGAAATTACATATATAAGAACTGATCTATTTGTATTTCCTGCTCGAAATGTTGGTCTTTAATTGCTTCTACTTAATTTGATAATGTGAAAAGAGGTATGTTTATATGATGTATAAAGAATTCATATAGTTAAACGCAGCCAGTTACGTTGTGGGTGTTATTGTTAGTTGGATTTACGTAACTATAGGTTTGATAGTGTTGTGTGTCTGTTGGCATCAGGGCTGGGCTGGCTCTGTTTGCCCTCCACACCCTGGGCGCCATGAAAACACGTTCTGCCACTGCAGTGACCAAACCCCAGACCTGCTTAATTTCAGCAAGGCAGTGGCCTCGTGTTCCTTCAGACGACACTCTGGATGAAAGCCAATGAAATTTTGTGACTCCTACTTACCATGGAAAAGCGGGCACTTTTTCATGCCTTAAAAATGCGCACGGTGGGTACACCTTGTGCCTCTTTTTATGGGGTGGAAAAGAAGGAAACAGGAAGTAATTCAGCTGCACTCCTCATTGTTCCTCTTTATTGCCACATCTAAAATGGGTCTCAGATAAGGAACAGAGATATATGTGTAAAGCAATGGGGGGCGGGGGCAGCGTGGAAGAATCATCCCATTTGCCTTCTGTTTTGTCTCTCCTTGACAGCCACATGTGTAAGTAGCAGCTCTTCCTCCTCTTTTAATGAGATTTCCTGCTCCCAGGGCCTTCCATAATCTCCCGAATGACAAAAAGGTGCCATCAGAAGATGAAAGGAAATATGAGAAAATGGGAAGTCCTGTTTCTCTTTCTCTCTCTCTCTTTTTTACATTTTTTAATGTTTTATTTAAGCATATTTACAAACAAACAAACAATAAAGTACACACACCCATTGGACTCCCCTCCACCAGCACTCATCATCTTTGAGTCATTTAAGTTCTTATTTACATTGCATATTATTTATCGCTGTAATTACTTCTTTTATAGTACTATGGTATAACATCAAGTCACCTTACAAGCTTAGTCTAAACATATCAGCATGTTGTCATTAGAGCAGTGTTTGTTCATATATTATTTGAACCATAACCACTGTGCCCTTAATTTCTGGTGTGTTTGATATCTTATTACCGCAGTTAATTTTGCCAATTCTATAAACTCTGTTAGGGAAGTCCTGTTTCTCCTGACATCCTGTCACAGTGGACCTGGGAAGACTGGAGGAAAATATATGCATGCTAAAAAAAATAAAATCAAAACAGTAATTTACAGGCCGTTTAATAAAGCACCTGGAAAAATCACATACTTCGTTGCAATTCTGTGAAATTCTAACATGGAAATAAATAAAATATATACATGATGTGACCCAAATGATATTCCTGTTGTCCCATTAATCATAATTAATGCATAAGCCCAATAATGTTATCTTTGGTTCCAGGTTCAGCAGCCCATAAATTTAACATGAGTGGCTCTTTTCACAGAGTGAATCAGGTACTAGTCCTGTCTTCTCTCACCCGCTTTTGTGCTTCTAAATTAGAAAACCCAAATGCCATTCCTTTCAGATACGAAGCAACCGTCAAGGTCACTGTAAAGAGAATAGAGTAATTAACTTTCCAAGCAAGCGCCTGTAGAGAAACAGAGCACTTGGGGAAGTGGGTAAAGAGGCCTAACACTCTTACCTTCAAGAAGCATTTTTTAAAAAAAGGAAAAATCAGCCCAGAATGATTAGATAAAAAAGCAAGTCCAAAGGCTCCTGTCTAATGAATATGGAAAAATTGCACCTCTTCCTGAAAACATTCTATTTTGGTAGCGAGCCTCGCAAATTTTTATTCATAGCATCGCTTTTAGTTTGGCGCTTATGGGTTTTGAGGAGATCAGTTAGCATTTACTGGTGTCCAGCATAGATTATCATGTGAACATAGGAAGCTGCCTTATACAGAATCAGAATATAGAATCGTAGAATTGGAAGGGATCACAAGGGCCATCTAGTCCAACCCCCTGCCATGCAGGAATATTTTGCCCCATGTGGGGCTCGAACCCACAAATCTGGGATTATGAGTACCGTGCTCTACTGGCTGAGCTATCCCAGGTCATTGGTCTGTCCAGCTCAGTTTATATGCACTAAAAGGAGCTCTCCAGGGTTTCAGATAGAGGTCGTTAACAGCCCAACCTGGATATGCCAGAGACTTTCTGTAAGTATAGTAAAGTGCCCTCCCCACCTGTGCAACAGTTCTTCAGAGGCTGTAGGGGTTTCTCAGGAAAACCTAGGGCACACCTGCTGGTCAGGTGGGGGTGCAAGTGACCCCTTTATATTTCCCTAAACCAGCCCCAAGTTGTCTCTGGATAGCATACCTCCACTGAGCTCTCTTAGAAGCCTTCACGAACCACCAGGTGCTTTAGGAGAGAGGTGGACAAACAGTTTAAATGAAGAGCCCACTATACAGATGCCAGGGGCAACAAGCAAGTGAACAAATGGGCAGAGAGTGGCATGCAAGCAGGTGGGAGCCATGACAAGGAAGAGAGGCGGCAAGAAGGGAGACTCTGAAGAGAGGCAGCAGGGACCCCTCGGGAGGTTCTGGGCTCTCCTTCCTTGGAGGTTTTTAAGCAGAAGCTGTCATGGACGCTTTAGCTGAGATTCCTGCATTGCAAAGGGTTGGGCTACATGACCCATTGGGTCCCTTCCAACTCTACAATTCTATGACCTAAGGGTGTTCTGTAGCAGGGTCCTCCAAAACCCAGAGCTGGCATTTGCTCCTGATCTTCCTCCACCTTTGATACTGAGATCCGGGTCAGAAGCCCAAGGTATGAGGTCAGGATCAGGCGAGGTGGTCTTGATGAACCATGGCACCACAGTAATGGAATGTCTTCCTATGGGAGGCCTCTCTGGAACTGCCACCAATGTCCTTCCCCCAAGCTCCTTTTTGCAGAGTGTTTCGGGGAAGGCTGGCTTGATGTCCTGCACTGCGCCTTTGAACTTGCTGATCCAATTCCTCCACCATGCTGATTGTGCTGTGGAAGTTCTGCTTAGCATGTGCTAATGTCTCATTGTTTAAGTTGGCTGGCAGTCACCTTGAGGCCCTTGACTGAAGAGGACGTATTTTAATTAAAT